ATATCAGACTGAGTGAGTACGTAGTCATGGTCTGTGGAGGCAAATTGTAAACTGATAATAATAATGTATCAATAGCAGCAGATGGATTTGGACGTATAAACCGAGAGTATTTGTAAATTATAATATCGTATGATACAGAACAAATTTACATTTGTTCTGTATCTTTTCTTGTTGAATTAATCACTCGATTGTGATCATCTTTATCACTGCATTGCGCTGAAATGTTTCTTTCTCTGTATGAAAAGTGACATTATGTTCTACTGTAATATTGAGTTCATTTTTGTTTCTTTATCAATTAATTGTTCATTATGACCTGAGAAAATACCACTTTAATATTTGAATATTTATCATCAAGGTGACCGTATTTTATTTTTATCAATCTCGTTCGGTGCTAATACGTGTACACCTAAGAAATCCTGATCCTTTATCGCAAAAGCTTTTCGAATTATATTCTTCAGAGTGGTTTATAATCTGTTAAATGATAATTCACAGTACAGAATATTCATGCTCAACATTATTTCTCATCAGCTGTTTTCCGGCTTATGCATGTATTATCAATCGTGTGTCACTGATTCGATTGGATGACTCATAAAAGCATCCTGAACAGTTTGCATAGCAATTATTGCCTTTCACTGCCTCTTTCCTCATAAAGTTTTTCCTTTTTTCTGGTCAAAATCTTGAAGTTGTGCTCTGTAATATGCTATCAGCATGGGATTTTATGCGTCAAGGTTTTCAATATCGTTTATGTATCGTTATTGATCAAAAACAATGGCTGTTCGTAACTGAGTAATGAGATTTATTCGAATTGGTATTATAATTAAACTTTGATTAGTGCATGAAAACGGCACTCACGCAACAACGGTACTTAATGTTTCTTCACCGTCGTTAAATCTTGATGTAATCTCTCATCTTTATGAAACGAAATTAGCTGCTCGAAATGGACATATCTTTCTCTGAGAAATCATTGTCAGTCTTTTCATTCTCATTCTTAACAACATTTTGAAGTTGTTGCAATAATCACATTCAGCGTTGATTCATTCTGTATAGATGTTTCAACTCGAACCAAATAACTCAGTGAAGCAGTATGCTTAATTTTCAGAGAAGTGGAATATATATAGTTCGATAGAATATTAACAGTAAAATTAAGTAAGTGTGACCATATTTCGTGCCTAATTCCTTCCCATTTTATAAGGGTTACATAAGTGACTTGGAATCGTCGCTTATCATCACTAATCATGTGATGAATGTATCATTTTGATCTCACATCACATCATTGAATAATCGTTAGACGTCAATCGAACACGTTCATGAATAGTTGAATTCAGTTCTTATCGAAATAAACGTTCTTCATACCATCGATACCTTTTTATCATTAATCAACAGCATTTTCATCTAGAAGCAGCTGCACTTTACAATCTATCAACTGCCTTTTATCTCATTCATCTCTCAAAATTGTTACTTGTTTTCATTTTTATCTTATCAATTAACTCGACGCGTTACCTTTACGAATGTTCTTTTATTTTGTCTTCTACTTTTTCATGTTTACATTTACAAGGTATGGCATACTTATTGTTAATTTGTTCAGTAGAAGGACTCATTGTTCTGGAATATTTATTTTCAATGCATAGTTACAGTCTTGAACACTTGAAATGTCAACAAACCCATTTGAAAGAGACGTCAAATACCTGATAGATTTTTTCTGTTGCTGATTTTTCTTCTACGTAATCCTTTGTCTGAAAAGATTACCCTTAAAAATATTGTTTATGTCAATCAAAAGTACGTTGCGTTGCAAATTTCGATTCCTTTCTGTTCTGGAAAACGTTTCGTTGCAACCTCTTAAAAGTTGTCATGTCTTTTTCAAACCAATGTGTCTCTCTCAACAAAATCATTTCAGTTTTATCGTTCATTTAGTAAACAAAAGCTTTTTTCAGCTACTTCACTCGCTTCATATTCATACAATAGATTGTTCCTGTTAACATCGTTTTATGTGCAATCCCTCAATTCATTCACGTATATCAGTTGCAAGCGAGTAAGTGGAGAAATTCTGTCAAATAAGGAATGGTTCGTAGAGCAACGGTTTTCATGCTCTCGCTCTCCTTAGCAGATCGTCTCCAACAATGTGGCAGATCGCAAGTATCCATCTGCATATGACAGCAATTAGCGCCTCCAACAGACTGGTACATGCAACAGATCAGGGAATGGATGTAGTGATTAGGAAGGTTGATGCTAAAAATTCATCGGTAAAATGAAAGTAGCATTTTGAAAATATTACTGAGCAACTGTAGGCTGAAGTTTTTTTTAAAAAATCAGTTAGCATCAATTTGCCGTTCTCCTCAGTACCCTCTAACATACTGAAATTCGCTCTCAGGGGGATGCCTTTGCCAGTCTCTATGAGACTTATTGACATAAGGTCTGCTGATTGTAATTATTATCGGTATGTATCATTTAAAACTTTACTGTAGAGGTATTTTTATTGATAGATTAAAGATTGCAATCTCACTTATGTATTGGAATGAAATCGAATGACTAATCAACGAGAATTTGAAATGGTATATTATGTTTGGAGCAGTCAAAAATGTGTTTTTAATTGATAATCTCAAAAAGAGTTTAACATTCTTAAATTGAAATTCGTTCGTTTCAAACGTTAATCATTATCAGCACCATCGTGTGCTTTCCTCCACAACAAAGGAATTATTCAAGTAAATTTCTGATTTTTCACTACGAACAGCCGTGCACAATTATCAGTCGATCATTTGTTCATTATTGAACTTCATTCACTCATATCACTTTCGGGTATCTCTAAATAGTGAAATTTGATGCAATTAGCAGTGATTTGGATTTGTGAGCTGATTCATCATTGAAATCTATTAATAAAATAAACTAAATTTGTACGTATTTCATTCGATAAATTAATCAATGCATCCATCCGTCCATTCTACGATTCATCAATTATTCACTCAGCAACAATCAAAGGAATCATTCCAACGATGTACACATCTATTCCCATAAATGTTCTCTTGCTTAGTCATCTTACGTTTGATATTATGGGTATGTGTGAGTGTGTGTACAAGATGCAAGACAAGAATGAATCAAAGGAAGCTAGCTTGCTTGTTTTTCACTCATTCTAAACAAAATATTTTGGCTTTCAATATGATCATTAGAGCGTTCGCAATTGATCTTTTATTATCAGTACTCGTTTGAATGTTAGAAATGATCACTTCGTGTTCCAGTTTAAACACAATCTCTTTAATGGCCATAACCAAATATATACATGGCCTATTTTTAGTGCTACTAAACCAGCATTATCATTTATGATTGTTCGAACACAACTTAAACTTTTGAAATTTACTTTTGCGTTTTTGTCAGTGATCGTTACAACTCATCGCTGTTCAACATTATCGTACGTATTCACCCACTTCTTTGTCGTCGAATTTTCCAGTTGATTGACTGTTTTTCCCTGTCTATTTGAAAATTTCGCTACGAAGTTAACTTTCCAAACGAATTTGATTCGAAGTCAGCATACAAAGTAAAACACAAGAAATGTTTTAGAAATTGTGTTTACCGATGAAGTTAGAAAAAAGCATTTCGAAATGTATGATAGAATAACAAACGCTTTATTTAAAAACTACGACGTATATGGCTGAGAATAAGCGGTTAAGTTCGATCACTTATTGTTTACCTGATACAATGTGGTTGTTTAAAACTCGCGAAAAAAAACATTCCCAAACGATTCATTCATTTTTTTACGTGTAATATCTTATCCATGTAAATATCATTTTTTCAGTTCTTTTCTCAACTGTGAAGTTTTACATGAGAAGAATGTTGAACCGTTAGCAAACGGATGATTTTAGATAAATAATGATATTCTAAAAGGATGTATTACTCATTAATGGGAATAGATAGTATTATTGTTGAGCTTTCATTAAAATATGTAGCCATCCTGTGAACAAACGTTTTTTATAAATTAATTCTGCTTTTTTTGAATTATGATGCGGAATGAGATATATTTTCGTTGTTAGTTCAGTGTTTTATCGTTAGTAGTTGGTCGATTGTCAGTCAGTTTGATCGGTCACTTGAAGAAATATACGTCGTAGCTTTCGCGAAACGACTTCCTTCCGCAACGTCATTTCGGAATGCTGTTTGACTTCATTGTGTGAATAGGACTTCTTAAAGATTCTTTTCAATATATTGCTGAACATTGGTTTCCAATTCAATTGTTTTGGCGAATCATTTTCTTTTGTCACTTTTTAACTGGTGAAACCGCTAAGAGAAAAAAATTGCACGAGAAACGCGCGCATATTCCAATTGCTTATTCAGTGAAGACTTTAAAGCGTTTTCGATCAAATGTTTCTGTCTTTTTACGAGTTCGATTTTGGTACATTCAGCTGAAAGCTTTTCCCAACTGAACTGGCTTCGTCCAAAATATGACGACCTAGTAGGGTACTTCATTACTATGTCACCACTCAGTAAATTAATAAAGCACTAATTTTCTTTCAAACGAACTGTGTTGAGAAACGTCTGAAGTGGGTATTGTTTAAGGAAACCAACTTGTAAAAAATTCTCTTCATTCGATCGTTCAGTGTGGATGCCTACAAATTTTATCATCATATCATTGACTCATCATTTCTTCCCTTTTATGTCAGTTGTATCTAGCAATTCCACAAAAATATCAAGTGGCTTAATATTTATTAATATTCATCAACGTTACTTTTCTTTTCTTCATTAAAACTGATTATAAACTGGTATTATAATTATATTAAGTTTAAGCATTTCAAGTTTTTGTAAATTATTTGAATGAATTACTGAAATGAGTGTGATAATAGAGTAGATATTGGATGTGTTCTGTTGCTTTATATAGATCAAACACTTTTTGGTTGATGCAGTTTCGTTTTTTGATGATGTTTCACGAGTAGGTGTGATGTGTTGTGCTTCCATTGCAATCAGATACAAACCGAACCATTCAGCTTTGTTCTTGTAACGCTAGATAAACGTGTTGATAAATTCGCTTTCGTATTCGTTGTTGGTGTTGATGTTTATTTATTATTCGTATTTTCATTATTATTCGTATTTTCAAAATTTAGACGGGTGTCGACGCAGCGGTCGTCGAACAAACTATTGGGTGCCGCAGGACCATCGTTGGGCGGCGGCCAACATATCGCCCAGATTCTACACGGTCTTCAAGGTCCGTTTTACAATTTGCAAGTCACTCGATCTCATCTGTTACATCTTCAATTTACACATTATTTGTCGAGGAACCAATCAGCCAGTGCAAATTCGATCTGTAAGCAGCAAATTTTGATATAACATTGCGCTCGGGACGAATATGCGAGATATAAATGCTAGTGTGTTTGAATGATGCTTTCGAAGATGAAGCTTTTGATTGTTGTTTAAAACTGTTGCCGGTATCAAATAGGTTTGTTCATAACGAGTTTCTCGAAACTTATTAAAAAACTGCTATCTGGACAATCTGCCTAAAGACGTTCAACCTAGTAACAGGAACATTTTGCCTAATAGGCATTTTGCATAACGGACGGTTTGCCTATTGGGACATCCAAATATAGTTCCGTGAAGGAGACTGCTGAAGCAGGCTGTCCATCATCGGTGATAAACATTAACTAGACGCGTTGTTTCTTCTTGATAACTTCATTGGTCAAAATTTGACTTTGATTGAAGTCAACAAAATCACCAACGTTGATATGTACACGTGTTCTAATAATAGCCACGAGATGAACATCCCCAGCATGTTCTGAACGGGTGCGTCTAACAGTCTTGCACGCGCTCTAGGCAAAATTCGTATTAGGCAAACTTTGATAGGCAAAATGTCCATTAGGTAAAACTGTCGTTAGGCAAATCGTCTTTTGGCAGATTATCCGGTAACGTTAAAAACTAGCACAAACGAGTGATTTCAATTGAAGAAATAGTTTTGTTTTGAAAAAATTTGACTCTAGATTGGAAACATAAAATAGTTTTCTCTTTTATCGTCCAATTTTAATGTTGTCAGCGTTCGTAAGGGTCAATTGTTGCTGAGTTTAGGGTGCAGCAGTCAAGTACAGACAAACATGACGAACGTGCGAGGGCCGAGTTCATCTGCTTCTGCCTCAACGACAACTTCAACTGGCGTTCTTATGGTCGGCCCAAATTTCAAGGTATGATTCTTGCTTCATCTCACTCTTTTTTTTTGAGGAGTTCTCATGTGAAAAGTATCAGTTTGTTTTTGATCAGTTTAGTAATTTAGTTGCCGCATCTTTTTTCTTCATTTTTCGTTTGTTAAAGTGATTTGTAATTTAGTTGTCGTTAAGTTTCATATTGAAAAGATTTTTTTCTTACTAATTGACTTTTTCAGGTTGGGAAAAAGATCGGATGTGGTAATTTTGGAGAGTTGAGATTGGGAAAAAATCTCTATAACAATGAGCATGTAGCCATAAAGTTGGAGCCTATGAAAAGCAAAGCACCGCAGTTGCATTTAGAATATCGTTTTTACAAACTTCTCGGACAAAATGGTATGCATGATGTTGACACGACTGTTGTTCAGTTAATTTCTTGTAGTGGAATAATTTGCTTCGAAGGTTTCCTATAACATTCCATTCTTTAACAATCCCAATTCAAAATTTCAAGTTGAAACCGCCTTTGCGTCTATTTTTTGTTTGTTAACAAAAGTCGCGATGGATAATGATTAAATTTACACGGTTTATCATGATAATTGTTTCAGAGGGTCTACCTCAAGTACACTATTTTGGGCCATGTGGTAAATATAATGCATTGGTTATGGAATTATTAGGTCATTCATTAGAAGATCTGTTTGACATTTGCGATCGCAAGTTTTCGCTTAAAACTGTCTCAATGATTGCGATGCAGCTAGTTAGTTATACGTTTCGAAACTTTGTTGCAAAGTTCTTTGATTATCAATTATCGATGAAATTTTGGATGAAAAGTTTCGCTGACGATAAGATGTCGGCCATATGGTACGGAAGGGAGTCGATCAATCGCTCGAAAACGTTTTGAGATATAGAAAGCTGATCAGAATAATATCGCAGTTTTAAAGTGATCTATAAACTAACGTAGAATGGTGATGGGAATGAAATGCGAATTAATTTAGATGAGGCGGATAGAATATGTTCATTCAAAGCATCTGATTTATCGAGATGTGAAGCCTGAAAATTTCTTGATAGGACGGCACTCAACCCGTAAACAACATATTTTACACATAATCGATTTTGGACTCGCCAAAGAGTACATCGATTGCGATACTGGTTTGTTTTCCTTTTGCTTCAATTTGCCAAGCTTGTGGTCATTTCCGTATCTTTAAAGATGCAATTGTGAAATACGACTATTAGATCGTATTCGTTCGTAGTGGATTTATGTGGACAAAATTAACAATATAACTGAGTTTCTATGAAGAGAGACAATACTTTTAGAAGTGAACGGAAAGGAATACACAAAAATCTATGCGGTCACAATTGTGGTATGATTGTCGTGAACACACTTCTCGTGAAATTTACAGAACGATCATGATAAAATTATGTGTAACATACTGAAGTATTCAGAGGTTGATTTGCAGGCAAACATATTGCTTATCGTGAACACAAGTCGTTAACGGGTACAGCCAGGTATATGTCAATCAATACACACCTTGGTAAAGAGCAGAGTAGGAGAGATGACCTCGAGGCCCTCGGTCATATGTTTATGTATTTTCTTCGTGGCTCGTTGCCTTGGCAAGGTCTTAAAGCGGATACACTCAAAGAACGCTACCAAAAAATCGGCGATACTAAAAGGGCGACACCGGTTCAGGTCCTCTGTGAAGGATTTCCTGGCAAGTTTACATTGTGTTTTTCTGCTTCACTTAGTCGACTTTTCAATTTTGCTTTTGTTGATGAACGGGGCAATTTTTCTGGATTGTGTCTTGCAGTTAGGAGTAAAAAATTCACGTTGATTACACTCCCAACGTACTGGGAGACAAGATCAATTAGCTGGTCTCCACGTTTAAGTCAAACTCAAGCCAGAATCATTGCTATTGTTCTTTTTTTTTCGTTTCATGAGCTTTCAATTAAATATCTGTGTTCTGTGAGTACCTCACCATCAATTGATTATTAATTTTATCGAAGTAGTATTTCAAAATTACGTTGAAGAATAGTTTCAACACGAATATCCATCAGCATTCGGTTGTTTTCAGAAGAATTTGCTCAATATCTACGATATGCGCGACAATTGGATTTTTTCGAGACGCCTGATTATGAGTACTGCTATAATCTATTCAAATCTGTACTAGATCGACTTGGTTTCACGTATGATTACGAATTCGATTGGACACCAAAACTCAATCAAGTGGTTTGCTCTTTCTCGAAAATTATACTGAATAGTTGCAATTCATTGAATAGTTTTTTGCATTCAACTCTTTTGGTGTAGTTATTCAATGCTGTCCGAAGATTCACTATACACTCGGTTTGTTTTCGTCATGTTCACTATTCTTCTTTCGTAACTTAATAAATGTATTACAGTCAACACCATCTGGTTCGTTACATGCCGGTGATGGCGCACATAAAGGAGATACAAAAAGGGGTGGTATGGCGAAGGGTCGTGAGGACGCGTTGAAACCTTCCAATCCTGGTACTGGTGGACAACCAGCTGGTGGTGGATTTGGTTCTACTCAAGTCAGTTATTATTATTATTATTATTATTATTATTATTATTATCACCTCTTTATTATTTATGTTTTCATGGCTGCATTGTTGAATTGTCTCATAAGATCACTTACCGTTTCCGTTTACTGCGTAATGAGTTGCTGTTTTATTCAATTATTATCGATGAACGCTAGCAATTTCTTGTAAGAAATTTGTTTGTGATTCGCACAAAAAGCGACATAACTTATTGATAGTTTATATGCAGTTGTTTAGTGGAGAATCAATTAATTAATGAGTAAATGATTCGATTTGAGGTGATAAATTCAAATACGGGAGATATGGTTGAGGATCCCGGCGGTCGTTCACAGCAACCAATTGCTCACGCTGAAGATAATAGCGAAGTGAAGTAAGTGTGTTGTTTTAGCAAATGACACGGTGGTCGATATCGTTTTGATAGTGGCTGTTATGTGATAAGTAAGAGATGCATCTTTCAGGTGCTGTTGCTTCCGTCGTCGAAGGCGAAAGGTACCACAGCAAAAATGAGAAGCAGCGCTGTCGTATTGCAGTCCTTCCTACTTTTTCGCTTTCCCCTTTCTCAGCTCGACAATTCATTTTTGTTTTAGCGCTGCGTATGCTCTTACAATTGTCGTACCGGTGCTTAACTATCGCCTCGCCTTTCCTCTTCTCAAAACACGTCGCGTTTTCATTTTTATATCTTCTTCGTTTTATTTTTATTTTGATCATGTATATCAATAATTTATTTTTCATCTTCTTCTCTTCATTCTCATTATTATTATCTTTATTATCATTATTACTGTTAATATGATTATTGTCATTACTAACTTTATACGTCATTTTCCCTATCCACCCTTGAAACGATATTGTCGTATATCAATTCTACCTTTCATCGTTTCTCTCTTAATTGTTTGTGGCATGTGATCTCTGCCAAAAACTTTCTTTAAAAGCGATTTATTTCGCTTATTTGGTCACTGACAATATTTAAATAATTACAAATCTACAATTATGCATCATTCATTTGATTGATCAGTGTTCCAATTTATTTACAATGTTTTTTGCGGAGTTTTATTGTCTGTTTTTAATGCTCTCATGTGAGTTGTTTGCCGATTGTGCACATCACTTTTTTGAGAGATTGATTATTGATTTGTGAGGTGATGATATTTCTAACGAATGGCACTCGCAGAATGGCTGGATTCACTTGCATTCGCATTCAGGGTTTCGTGCAACATTGTAAATGCGCAATCTGTCAGATTCAAGTGGTGAAGTTATGGAATGAAGTTTAATTTGTGTTTGGTTGTAGAATGAATGTGTTGTTGGTTATAAAGCAATGAAATAAGTGTCGTTTTGATTTTGTTTCACTGACAAACAACCAACTCAAAACTGATGTGCTGTTTTGAATGTGCTGATTATCTGTGTGTGCCACTTTCATTTTTATGAGATTTGCAATGATAAGCGGATGAGGACTGCGTACATTCGACCGCTGCACTACTCTACGGCACCCGTCCCCGACGTTTCGTTGCTTTCTGCTATCGCTAACTTTTCTTCATTCCTCTTCTCGTACCACACCAACTGAGGTGCCCGTATCATCTTCTCCTCCACCAAAGTTACATCACATTTCTACGCTACATCCAACACTCAAAATCTGTTCACTTTCTTCTCACCGTTATGCACTTCATTAAAAATTTATTTCTTGCGTATACTGAATCCTAATCCATTTTTTCTTCCAAACTGTTCTGATTTTTGTCATCAAAATCTTTCAGCATAGCGGTTTCGCGCTGTGGGTGGCCAATCTTGTTGGATGTGCGCGTTTCTTTCCGCTGAGTTTCTGTTGCTAATGATGTTGTATGTGAAATAGGTTAACCACGAAAAAAAAAACAGTTCAACACTTCAAACAGCCTAATCGTTAAGGTGTCAAAGTATTTTGATGCGTAGTCGTTTTCGAATTCATTTTGGGAGACATAAACATTTGTATTGCTCAATAGTTTTGTCGGGTGTTATGGGCTGGAATGGAATTTTGCGTATTAATTTATGTGTTCTATTTTAAATGCCTGTGAATAAATCAAATTGTATGTTTTGTGAAGAGAAAAGAAGAGATTTACGCGCTGCTGATGTTTTTCTTCTTGATTGTAATAACTGAATTCAGATTTCGTGTTCATAATTGAATAATTAATTGATTTGCTCGTTTTCTCATCTTACTCATTATAATTGTGAACGATTGATTGACGTTTGTTTGCTCCGTATAAATTGTTTCTTTGTGATTACTGCAGTGTGTTTTGTTATATGTACTCATTTAGGATTGTTCATTTACTTATTTCAATATTGCGACTCTATCCCTCATCCACCACGTTCGGACACTGCGTATTCTGCTCGTACAGTTCATACACTTCTAGCAGTAAGACGTGATTCCATCCAAAGCGCAACTTTTTATGTTTGTTTTTTTTTTTGTATGTTTAAAATACAACTGGTTGGGTTGAGCTAGTCTTGTTCAATGAGCCTGCATTGCTGTCGTATTCTTCATTTAAACACTCCATCTTATAGTTTTAGTATGCATATATTGTAGAAGAGGTTTCATAACCCTATATTCAAATTGTTGTATAATGTTTAAAATCTCCTCGAACATACACAAAGAATATGTTGTAGTTGTTGGATTGGGTAATATTTCAATTAATTAGAATCAATATTTGGCACTTGTGCTGTTTAGTCCCTCCACCCGCACGCAGACACCATTTGCGCTTTCAACAACACCGCCGCACGTTGTCATACGCGCTTTAGGCCACACCCATTCTGTTACGCTGACTTCGGCATCAGGCTTAGGCTTAGGCTTAGGCTTAGGCTTATCCAGTAGGCGTGGCTACGCGCACGCGCGCGTGATCTTGCGTACGGGTGGAGGGACTAAACAGCACAAGTACCCAATATTTCACCTATTTAGTGGTTGTTCACCTCTACGCCTAATATCGCGATGAAATGATTCGGATTTTTGAAGATATTTGTAATATCAAAAGAATAATCCAGTACGCCACGCAGCCGGACTAGTTGTTTGAAAGTGCAGATAAAAGGAGCATTATTAACATTCGAGTAGAATAATGCGTTGATTGTTCAATCAATTCGTTTCTTCAGCTAATTCTACCCTACAGGAGTAACACGAGTGAAGATTGTTTATTATTTATGATATTACTCGCTGACTGCTTTCGTGAGTGGGTCTAGTAAATTCCTGCATGCTGTCATTCTAATGAATTTTATGCTAAAGCATTTTATCTACATCTTCGTGATGCTTTTTTGAATTTTTCTCAGCTGATATGCTTAGGTTTTTAAAATTTCTTTCGAATAATATCTCCAAGTTCATCATTACTATCGTTCATTTGTGAAATCATAACATCCCATCAAGTTGATTTCTGCCATGCCACCTTCGAACATTCACCCAATTGTATATTATATTTTTAACCACAGCTCTTGAGCATGTGATATATGACGGTATTAGTATTAATACTATGATCGATTTAATGGTTCAGTTAACAAACTACCAACGAATTGTTCGCTGTCCACATAGTTCGATTAATCACCCACGTACCAGTCGATCGTTTACACTTGATAAAAGTTTCGAAATTGATGATGCATCGAGCTGAAAACACTGAATCATCATTCGTTTGCAGTTGCATTCTGAAAGAAGAATGCACTCATCTCGACTCAACTGCATCCACTTTCGTGATATCAATTAAAGCCGTTCGTTAAATTTACTTTTTGCGTTTATACCTCTTTCTCTTCATCTCTTTGAAACGCGTAAACGCCTTCGTATGCAATTCCAGCTCGTGCATTTGCTGAAAAAGAGAAGTTCTTTCATTCCTTCTCTGAGAATTTTTACCAACTTGATGCAACTAGTTACTCATCCACGTGAATTTTTGTTGTCGGCTGTATTTTATGTTTGCTTCATTGGTTTTGTGTGAACAGCTATAAGCACCGAATTACTTAAGAAACGATTCCGCTACCATCCTTGCTTCATTGGCCTCAAACATCTTTCGACGAAATAATAATCCATAATTCAATTTTTTAAAATCTTTATGAGATTATTTATGAATGTTTATTAGCATGATAAAACTTCATCCGAATAGTGATATTATTAGTAACAATAGTAATAATAACAGTAACAGTAAAAATAATAATAGTAATGATGATAATTTCAATGGTAGTATTATTACATATTATTAGAACGTCTCAGAAACATATTCACTACGGTTCATCGAGTAACAGAAGTAGTTATTTTGATTCACTTTGTTTAATTGATTATTTTTCAACAAAGAAAATACAGCTGATAACTCATCTTCTCTCTCATGATTCATCTTCTCTTGTCTGAGTAAATTTGCATAGCTATAGTGGAGAATTTGACGGGCTCCACTGCACAACTTACGAAGGAGAATATGCGGTAAACAGATTTTTGAAGACTTTCATGCAACGAAGAAATTTCGCAATATTGATTATTTTTGACACTATATAAACTCATTTGACACTATAAACTCATTATGACACTATATAAACTCATAACCCACACAACTCATCTTCCGATTGGTTTGCGTAAGGTATTGTTGCTTTCTAATGGATTTTGAGAGGATGGAAATTCAATGAGGTGTTGCAATGCATCAGGAAATCGGATGCGGAAATTCGATGATTTCTTGCAAAGTATAGGATTACTCCCCTACAGAAAAGGTTTGTGAATGTGGGTCTAATATGACCTTGTTTAATCGAGACAGCGACCGGAACTCCCGCACGTTTCGTTGTTACAAAAGGGGATGCAGAAAGAAGAAGGCCTTTCATGCCGGAACATTTTTCGAATAATCCCGCATGACCTCAGAAGAAGTGTCCCAACTTGCTTATTTCTGGAGCCGTAGTTGTTTTCCTCACGAAGAAGTTCGTTTTCAAATCGTTCGAAATACAGAAGCCGAGTTGTCCACCCAAACCGTCACGGACTGGAACAATTTTTTCCGAGATGTGGCGGTGGCATACCACGCAAACAATCCGATTCAGATCGGTGGCATCGGTAAAACTGTTGAAATAGATGAAACAGCGATTTCGCGTAGAAAATATGGTGTGGGTCGCTGCGTCGACCAACAATGGATTTTTGGAGGGGTTGAAGTGGAAAGCGGGGAGTGCTTTGTGGTGCCCGTTAACGACAGATCAGTAGCAACACTCATTCCTTTAGTTCATCAGCATATTCTTCTCGGGACAGCTATTATTTCTGACTGTTGGGCTTCTTATAATCAAATTCAATCGTCCCTCTACACACACTTGACCGTCAACAATTCCTATCATTTCGTGGACCCCGTCACTTTCGCCTGCACCAACCATATCGAATCCGTATGGTAAAAATTCAAAGACGGGCACAAGGCCTGCTTTGGTACTCATCACTCCTTGCTTCCTGCATACATTTAGGAATTTGTGTGGCGCGAAAAGTTTTCTGGCCCCGACGCCTTCTATCACCTCTGGACACAAATCAAACAAATTTACTCTTGCTAATTCGTTTACGCTTCATAGTCTTCTCATCACCCCACATAGGTATGTGCTTTTCTACCTTCTTTTTAAGGCCTTCCGAACGGTTCACATTCACTTACATTGCTTACTTTCCTTTCTGTGCTGTACATTGGACTGTCTGCATTGTTACAACAGAGGCTAGCAAGCGAGCTCAGGTTTAGGCATAGGCTGAGACTACGCTTAGGCTGAGGCCATGCGCAGTAGGCGTGACCTCGATCTATGTGAAAACGTCGTCCATAGTGTGTGAGCGTATATGTGTGTTGTTGTGCGTATATGTGTGTTGTTGTGCCCAAAGTAAACAAGTGCCGTAAAATCCTCCCATTCATGCCCCCTACACGGTTTAGGAACATTTTCTATCAAGGATCAGAAATATCTGGTTATACTCTTAAGCATGTTTATATGTTGAAAGAACGTTTTTAGATGAAATGTGGGCCTCACGTTATTCGAATATTTTCGAGCGCGATATTCCATCTCATTGTGATGAAATTTGAGAGTGACAACAGAAGCAGGCTTACTCTGATAGGCTCTTCAAAGAGAAGAATTACTCATGCAACACCTCCAGCTCTATTCTGGAAATTTTCAGCCAACACAATTCAGATTCCGATTGAAATTCCCATCCCCATTCATATGTTATGTGACAAGATCTTTCTATTACCGTCTGTTACGACTGCTGAGTCGTGATAAATTTAAAATTTGAATTGAGTATGCGGTAAATTGGCAGACTGAACTTGAAAGTGTTTAATTGATAACCACAAGTTTACGTAATAATTAGAGAAATATGAAAAAATCTACTTCTTCCCGTAGACGAGCCATAAAAATGTTTTGAGGACCATTTTGATAAAAAGATAATGACTGATAGTCGATTGGACGAGCGGAATGTAACAGAAAGAAATTGAATGAGGTGAGAGAGTAAAGAAGTTGCATTGCCAGTGCAGTGACCATACGTCTGTGAAGTAAATTATGTTTGTAAGTCATGCTGTTCTCTTAATTGCTTTTTGAAGTGACTGCTGTTAGAATCAGTCTTATCGCGTACTTTTGCTGATAACGGGCGCCACCGCGCCATCACAGATGCTCGTGTGCTCATACGCTTCATTACATAAGTCGAAGCCTATGTGTTCGCCTCATCACTGGGCTAAGCGTAAGTCTAAGACTTAAGCATACTCCTGATTTCACTTCGAATTGCATGGCTACACTTGGAGAAAAGCGGTCATCTAAGCACATGCGCGCAGTGCCGCCAGTTATCAGCAAAGGTGCCTCTTAAAGAATACAATTTAATTCTGTTGTTTTCGTATTATTATCACTGTCATGTAAGCGGTTTATCGTATTATTGCCTCCTTGGAATTAATCGTTTGAATTTTAATCGTAGTGTACTAAGTGGACGAAAAAACGAGATCTCCGTGCGCATCCATTGAAGGTTTAATGACTCAAATTTGACTTTGAGAATGAAAGATTACCAAGTTGTTACATTGAATATTTATGATGAATAAAAGTGTTGTTCGAACATGTTATCTTAATAAAAACATGCCTCATGTGTTAAACATGATATAACTTATATTATCAATAAAAATTTTAATTCTATCGGCTCGGACGAATTAATTCATTTTTCATCAGTGAATGTTGGAAACCATGCTTCGGTTTACATTTGTTAGCAAATTGTTATAGCGGATTGTATTCATAAGTCGAGGTTTCGCTGTATTCAGTTTGGTGATGTGACAAGTGATGTCAGTTGTTGCTTGGCTCGACCAATCTGAACGAACATGTTAATTTCTGAATTGACCAAATATTCACTCTATTTTATAACATTTCCCATGATTATTTCGCGTTGTTTTCAGGAATTAATGTCGTTGCAAGGTGACCGTGTAACGAAATGATGGGTTCTAATTTTCACACTTCATCGAAGCCTCTCAAAGAAATCGACATTCGTCCTCCTGAAAATACAGTCAAGGTAAGAGCTTGTTTCATTGGAAGGAAGTTGTAGAACTCTTTTAACATCAGAAGTTGAATTTCATTTACTCCAAACACATGGATGCTGTTTAGGCAGTTTTTCCGTTTGAATATTTTGCAAGGATATGCGTTAGAATTTCCTAACAGGAGAATATGGAAGTTCTGAAAATTCATTTAAATTTATAAATTTCTAAAAATTCATCGCTCTCCTTCTACTGTTTCATAAATGCATCTGCTGTATCCGACGTCCAGCTACACTTTTTGAATGACCATTCTCATTTGAGCAATAAAATATTACTAACGTGACCAGCACTAGTTTCATCAATTTGTCAGTAACATATTTTTAGGGTGCCGTAAGTTTGAATCCTGATATCGGCAAATATATCGATGCTGATTTTGGGCTTAACGATGGCACACCTGTGCCATGGACTTATGTTACATTCGATAAACAGGTCCTCCCCCATCTTTTATAGCTTTATCTTTCCATTTGTTATTGTTTATTGAGGTATTCAATTTTTTGGAGATAACTCCTTAATTAAGTTCTTTTCATTATCAAATTAATGGTCAACAACATTCTCTAATGAAAAATTATTTCCTAAGCAGGCAGATTTTCGACGATATGATTGTAATGATCACTGTTTGTGATAAGACTGCATATCTGTGAATGAGTCAATGTTTTTTGCTGATTAATTTGATCATGTGTGTCATAAGAAAACAATAAAAATTTACTTTCACACGAAATAGTGGAATATCATGAATTCAGAATGAAGTTCTCTCTGATTTGATCACTCGTTTGGTCGTTGAGCTGAAGCTACCACAAGCCGATAAGAATGTGTATGCATTGAAATTCGAAAGTCCCGAAAATGACGGTGCGTTCTTAACTGATGAAAATCGTGCACTCATACGACAAGGATTTATGATCATTTTAACTGCATCTCCAGTAAGAAAATGTATCATTTGTTCTTTTTTTGATGAATTTTTGGCATCTTTAAATAACTGCTCGATAGATTCGTATCGGCAATAATTCTTGGATTGTAAGGCTTGTAAATATTAATCATCTGGAACTTTGTCGCATCATGGCACATTAAAATGACTTAATCAAAGTCGAGAAAATATTAAGATTGCCAGTGTGTATTGCTTTTGCCGTAATATTAGCTTTTGTTCAATGAATAGATCCATTGTTTCATTATTTGATTTATGGATAGTATATTATGAAAAAACACTGAGAAACTAAAAGCGCTAAAAATAAACTGAAAGGATTGTACACTTACTGAATGAGTTTCTAAGAGATGAAATGCGTTGATATCACCAAAAAACACTGATAATGGCTGTCATATCTCATTGTCTAGTGTTATGTTTGTGGATCGATTGAAATTTCTGCTAGAGGTATGTCTAGTATTTGCAAACCTATTTGTAATGATGCTATTTAAACGAAACTGTTCAGGAACGTTATTCACATTCCATATTGGAACGTTTACGACGATTATCGAATCGAGTTGGCGAACCTCGTGCAACGCTATCTGAATTAATAGCTATCTGTGGTGATTATGCTTTTGCATCGGAATTTCATCGTGCCGGAGGCATAAAACACGTACTGGAAATGATCGAAAATGGTTCATATTCAGAGTGCGTTGTTTGAAACATTTTAAATGTTTACGTTAAAATTCAGCTCTTTTTTGCTAAGAGATACCTGCTTGATGTCATAGAATGAGATTATTCAAAATGAGCGGTAGTATTTGATGGCCATCGGTCATCCACGTTTACTCTTTTTTTGCATTAGTTATGACGCAATTGAAGTGCGCATGCGAAAAATTTTATTCTTCGAAAGTGAATGATAAGACAGTAGTGAGTTCAGCTCAAATTCGGAATTCAGTCCGTTGATGCATCATTCGAATGAAGGAGAAAAGGTGCCTAAAAATTTTTGTATTATAGGAGTAATGGAGAATAGTTTTGCGAGCACAATTTGACATTGACATTGTAACATTGTAATAATATGGTTGAGTGTATCTAAGAGGTAAAGTTGTTATAATTTAGCGATGTTTCTGCACAGTCACAGTTGCTCCAGTCATTGCTAGTTCTAATGGAACATTCGAGTTTGATTCAGTGGACTGAAGTATCAGACGGTTTCGTGTCAAAAATTGCAGAAAATATAACTGGACGTGCGAAACAAGAGGACAACACGTTATTGTTATCTTCTTTGAATATCGTCGATCTTGTTCTCAATTCTAAAAGGTTTGTCGTGTTCGATTAACTTTTACTCTGAACGTTCTGGGTAAAATGATGTTTTCGAATAAATTCTGTTCATCGGATATTTTTGTTTTTTGCTTTAATTAATATATTCGGCTAATCAAGTTTTACAATAAAGCATTATTCGCTCGAAATAATACGTGAACATTTGTTTGTATAATCCGTGACCTCGAATCCGATTGTGTGAATGAACCTAAAGAGCAACTATTTGAATGTAATAGAACTGTGCATAATTCGAGAGAAAATGGAACAAAAGTGATGTTGAATTTGAATGATGAATCGTGTTTAAGTGAAGAAAAAAAGCAACTGGTGATGCGTGAAGTTCCATTCGAATCACTCATTCGACATCTGGAAAAATCTGATGAGCGTATCATTTACAACGTACTCATGCTAATGAATTCACTCTATGCGAAAGCAAGTGACGATGACAAATTGATCATTGTTGAAGTGAACATTAAATTTTCTTGTTGTTTCAATTCTCGGACGTTTTATCTTTATCAACTCAGGTGTTGCGACCTATGGATGCTCAATATTGATATGTTTGTAGGAGTGTATAGTAATCACCGATAATGTTATTAGCAGCGGATAGATAGATCAATAGCGATAGAATGTCAACAAATCATCATCGTTACTCATACATCTGTTTCCCAAGGCACTCCCCACTACTGCTGATCATATTTTCGTCATTATCGATACTTATCATTGCTGTACACTCGCACAAATTATTAAATCAGTTCTGCGCATCCGTAGGTCGCATCATCTGACGATAACTTTTCACCCATATTGACTCATTTGCATATTCTCAAACATTTACAGTTACAGTCGTCTCAGTTTATCTCTTTCAATTATTATTATTATTATTATTATTATTATTATTATTATTATTATTATCGTACTTTTCAGCATTTGCATGCCACACCATTTCAACGTGCCATCGAGAATTCAGTGTTACGTAAACGTCGCCAGCTGGATGTTGGTATTGAGCAGCAACTGCTTACCGTTCAGCGAATAAAGCTTAATCAACTTGCTCGTAGAGCAATGCATCCAGCATGTGAAACTGATATCGAACGTTTACAAGTATTCGTTTTTGTTTTGCTATTAATTTTTCGTTTCATTGTCTGCCATATTAACTATTAATTTTATTTTTGAACTTTATCCATCATATGAATGTAATTCAGCAACTGAAAGCACTTAGTGCGGATGGTACGCATTCACCAATTCCATTTCAATCACGTCGTCAACAGTGGCACGATTTTGCGAGCGCAGTTGCCAACACACCACCTGGTTCATTGGCCGTTGATATGATCAGCGGTTTCGCCACCTATCATTCAGACTCGATCGCGAAGGTTTTTTGTTTCTGTTTGCATGCAGTTTCCAGTACAAGTTTGTGCGTTAATGATCAATCCTGATCAGCGCATATTAGTAGTATTAATTAAGAACTGCTTTTGATTTGTTTGCGTATTCAAAAATTCATTAGCATCCGTACTTATTTAGATAATTTGAAACAATGGTTCAGATAACAATGGAAAACTCATTGAGAGGTGAAAGCTTGGCGTGGCCTGTACTATTGGTATGTGTTCGCCTTGTACAAATGCTGATTGATATCTTACATATCATTAGTGAACCGGGTTAGTCTTGTCTTATTTGTTGTAGTTTTTTTTTTGATCCGTAAAGCAACTAATACTTCATTGCTGATGAGCCTTCATGCATCATCAGTTAATGATTTTCAAAAAATACCTGTAAGTAGTTCTTAATGAATTGATGATTCGTTTCATTGTTCAGTTCGTTATAGAAGATGGTGATCGATTGGTCGTAATGTTATTCAAAAGTGATCGACCTTTTGTGGATTTATTCGCTGTTATGGTTCGCCTCTTTCATAGAACATGGCGTGAGATGCATGCTAGTGAAGAGGATATCGATAAGGTAATATCGCGCGAGTTCTTATTGTTTTCAGTATCTTCATTATTATTAGTGTGCTTATTGAGCCTATATCTTGCTGTAGCAGTTTTTTTGACTGTGAAACAACCGTTCAATTATTTTTGACGCTGCGTTTTCTATTTTTCACTTTTATTTTTTTTTATTATTCCAATAATTCTGATGATGTAAGTTTGGAGAGTAGCTTTTGGTCTTTTGTGGCGATGCTAAATGAAACATTTTCCAAATGCTTTAATGATAACATTGAGTATTACCAAGCTTTTCGTTTTGTTCATCAGTAATGAATCGCACGTGAATTCCAGTTTTTAGACGTATGGTGCTAGTCAATTTTCGGCCTTCAGAGAATTTGTCAGAAAGTTTGAATGTGATGGCATTACTTTTAACGGTGTATATTGCATCTTAGGTATTGGCTGTAGTTCAGAAACAGTTGGACATTTGTATGTTGGAAAGACCTGAAACGATGGAGAAACTTGAAGAATTCCTCGTTGTTCACTCGTATCCACATATGCAAAAAATCTGGGAAAGAGAACGGAGTGCAAAAGAAGCAGAAGAATTACAAAGCGATGCAGTTAGGTTTGTCATCTCGTTCTCTTTTAACTTTAGGTATTCACCGTGATCGTGATTGTTTGCATTCAAACGAGTGCTGAATGGCGTTGGATCATGTCGCTCAACTCTCAGTTCTTTTACTGTTTTGTTAATCGTCGTTCATTTTCACTTAAGCTGCTCGTAACGGATTCTTTCACTTTATTTTGCGGTTTTTTCGTTTTTATTCAAAAAGCTAAAGTTGAAGAGCACTGTATCGCATTTATAAAATTTATTACACTTTAAATTACCTCTTTTGTTGAGCGCAATCTTCCAGTGAACATCACCTTTATTCATTCGAGTATACTTTGTTTTTGCAGAGAGTTACGCGAATTTTTACGACCGCAAATAATAGAACTTATAAAGAAAAATCGAAAAAATGTAATCAAAAACGGATATACGTTTGGAAAGCTGTCGAAAAATAAGTCTATTCAAAAAGGTTGAAGTATTTCTTTTTTTCACCTGGATTGCAACAATTCAATAATAAAATTTTATCTGATCCGGTTTTAAGCAAAATGATTAAATTATGTGAAAGTATTTAGTTGAATTAATATCCCTCAAATATTTTACAGAAAAATTTCACTTCACTTTTATGACAAAATCTAAGTTTACCAAAATGTAGACCACATAAAGTTGATTTATTCAGGACAGCAATTTTGGCATTGGAAACTTGATCCGAATGAGAAAACTCTTCTGTGCACAGACTGTACTGCATCCGATAATACCGTAATTGTGGACCCAACCGTCACAATTAAAAGTTAGAATAACTGTTGATAATGCTAATTCGTTGAAAGTTACCGAATGCGTTTCTTCAATAATGACATTTTGATTACACTAATGAGCATACTTACAGAATTAGAATATAGAACGCTTATGATGAGTATTAACAATCAGTTATTTGCAGTTTCTGTATCAGATATCCAATGTGTTTGGAGTGGTGATGAGATTGGAGATGGTTTGCACACGTTAACGAAAAGTAAGAAGAATGCAGCCGTACGAGGTTTGTCGTTAGAGGTGGGTGATAAAGCGGACGTTTATCACTTGCTCACTTCTGATGAACCAGTCATAAACGCTTGGATGGATGGTATCAACGCTTTGATAGGTTACTCGTTACTCATTTGCTTTCGACGAATATCAAATGCATAAGCAAACAATCTCTTAGGATGTCAACGATTATCAGCACAAGCGCAGCAACAAGTTGATCGCTTTTTGAATATCGAGTTGAAGATGAGGTTGTTGCAATTGGAGAATTTTCAAAACGCCTGCCAAATACCTCCACCACCGAGCAACTTCGATTGGATTCCAAATAATAAAGCAATGGTATGATGAGACTGTTGTCATACTCGTCTTTTATAATTACCATCACATATATGAGTCTCTAATTGCGTAATCTCTACTACAGATGCATCGAACTTTATAACAGTCGTTTTATCTGTGAGTTGATCGTTCACACCACACTTAACTGTAAAGGTTGAATGGGTTGGCTGAATTGAATGGTGGAGAAATGTTTCGATCAAAGGACGACGATTTATTTGCACAATTTCTCATCAACTCATAGTAACAGTGCGAAGCAACGATCTGAGAATGTGACACATGAATGTGAATGCTGTTATTATACAATGTTTCTCAACTGCTTAACAAATTTATCATTCATACCTTGAGTGCAATCACAAATTATCGAAGTTCTTTTTCAGTCTTTTCATCTCTTCTCATTTCTCACAGATTAGTTAGATTTTGTTGTCCCAAAAAGAGGAAAATTATCAAGCTTCATATTTTGTTTTCAAAAAACACTGACTTCGAATTATTTTTTCTAGAACAAACTGCTTCCGACTGTGTTGGTTAAATACCAATTTTTTAAGAATGGTTTAACTGTTTAATGTATAAGTAGCATATTTCAGATACATGTTCTTTGTTAAACTTTTGAATAAAGTGGTCGAGAAAGTATATTCGTTGTTATGATCATACGTAGTGTACAGTATTTTTTGCCGTTGAAGTTCATTCCGTAACTGTATTATTCACAGATTGTTTTGTTTTGTTTATTCTTATCATTCCTATCACGATTTTTCATGTCTTGAATTTTTGAGCGAAGTGTGATGTGCGAACACAGCAGTGCTCCTGCTTTCATACTTTGAGATGGCCGTCGAGAATCGGAATTTGAATCAATTCGAATTCTAGTTATTAAAGTGGAGAAGTGATGCTAGTCTAGCGGCAACAACGAGTCGCGTGCTTCTCATTTACCGCTATTATTTTTCGTGGTCTTCCCCCCCCCCCCACTTTGCTCTTGATTATCAGTTCATGTTCCCTGGCTCATTGATATGATATAAATGTTATATTACAAAAGTTCATGATCAAAGGGAACGGTTCAGCATATTGGCAAGTGAAATATAATATATTTGTGCAATATTCACTTCAGAGACAAATACAGCTGTATAATGCGAGAAGGAGATGGTAACTAAGTGGTTCGTTGTGTTAATATCAAATCACCACTTCGTTTGTACTCTTAGCTGCTGTAGTATAGCATGATTGTTTTGTGTCCTTTGCACTGGTCTGTTTGTTTATGGCATTGCACTGGTCTGTTTGAGAACAGAAATTATTTCCATTGATAGTGATTTACTTCAATTTTGATTTACTTTAATTTTGACAAATCTCTACTTCCTTGACAACACCTTAAATTTCCTTATTTTGTGAAGACTGACGACTTCCGTATTGCTATCAAGCTGTATGGCAAAAACGAAACATACAAATATTGATTATATGATTAATCGCAGTGGCCAATCGACTGACTTGTCTCATCGTTCAGAGACAGAATCTTTTGAAAATGTGAATCAGTCCAATTTTACAAATGAGTTTATTGCAGCACATGTGGGCTAGATTGACCGTGACTCAATTACAACACAAGGTGCGATTCATTCGGGAAATTATGATCGATTATAGAGTGAAGTTTGACACGAAAGCTATTAGACAACTGACGATTAAACATTTACAAGTATCAGTTGAAATGTTTGCAGAAGAACAAATTTTGCACCGCAAAATCATAATGGATTTTGGTAGAGGACATTACTATTCTATTACAGATGTCCATGGGACATCCCAATTGAATGTCCTTACCACCTGGCCAATGAAAAATGTTGTTTCACATTTACATGAGATATTTCTTTGAGGAATTTAATAAAGCCTAGAAGATTCTGTTGTTATGTTCACTGATGATTGCATTCGATCAAAAAATTTTCATCAAAGATTGTAGTGGCAAGTATTCGAGCAAATGTTTATTTTAGATGGACCAACTGCATTTACGTTCTAAACAAATGTTGATTAAACAGTCGACTCAATACGAAATGTTACAAATAAGTGACTGAATTAGCAATGAATGTATTTCAAAACTTATGTAAGCGGTAAGACATTAATAACTCAATCATTACACAGCACCCAAATAGGAACAAAAGTAATATCATAATGATGGATAAATGCATGATCGAATTTGTAATTGCTGACATAATAATAAGCACCTAAGTGAAACGATCGTTTTACTACCAACACAGTGAAATGACTTCATTTTGTTTTCAAGCATTCATCTCGATGCAATAAGGTTTTGGGGACATTTTCTTGCTTACTGCAAATTGTAAGCGACGAGAATTGTCAAGTTTTTGAAAAAGCACAAATCATGAGTATAAGAATCGATAGTGTCCAAATACACTCACCAGTGTTGTTATACCAAGCACTTAGAGTATTCAAAAAACACTATTCAGTTTATAGTAGAGGGGACCGATCGGCGGAAGAGGACGTCAAATCAATGTTACCCTATACAACAAGCCTCACCGACTCCCCTCATCGATGGTACAAAAGATAATTGCTATTGGGTAGTCATTCACATTTCTGACCACTATTTGTTCCGCCTAACTATAAGTGAACTACTCATAAAATTAATTGTTGCATACTCAAATACGAAATTTGCACCAATAATAGACGTGATTATACAATACACTACACTTAAATGTAGCAAAATGAACTGTTTTGACTATGAAATAAATAATACGCAAACAAATTTAGGAAAGATTAATGTGGCAGTGAAATATCACACATAAAATGAACGAAGATTTCAGATGAAGACGACAAACGATAAAATGGTTACTATTAATCGATACGGCTCGATAGCGCCAACGACCTCTAATTTTGATAATCAGATATCGTAACGCATAAACTTATTTAGAAGAACATGAGAATCTCTAACAAAAAAATTATTAGAATAATTAAAAATTGAACATCCTTTTCTCAGTGATAAAGATAAGGAAGAATATTACGAATTCATTCAGTGACAACTTTCAAATTTGTTCAAAACATAATTGATAAGAAGCAGGCGAATTTCGATGAGATTAGTAACCGGAAGAACGAGTAAGGAATAAATGCCCATTTTGTTAAATTACTCACAATACTGTAATTCGAGAATGGTAACGGAAGAGATTTAGACAAAGTAAAAGCACTACTGAATAATGAGGAGAATATTAATCACTCAAACAAACAAATACAAGGACGACGCACAGCACAGCTGTATCTAAGAAATGTTACGTACATACGATATTGTTAAGAATGAAAAGATTCACTGTTTTCAGCTGATTTTGATTTAGTTTTGTTTTTTTTTTGAATTTTTCATTAAGAAATTCTCAAGACTATTAAGATTACGAAAGTTTATGAAGGCGATTGATTTTATGATTAATCAGACAAAATTATGGATTTCTGGAGACGGAGACTCAAGATCCTCTCTGCTCAAGATCAATCAACAGAAGATATGAAAAACATTTAAAACTGGAAGAATTTTGTTAAAATTCTTCGCTACACTGAGATGAGTGAATTAAAAATACAGGATCAGAAGAAAACAATAAATAACTACTGATTTTCATTTTCTTTACAGTGCCATTTTCAACAAACGAAAAATTACAACAGTTCAAAACTGAACCTTACTCTTCACTACAGTAACTGTCTACCATTTATTTGAGAGTAATGTTTAAAAAACTGGATGAAGTGCGATCGCTGTTCAGTGAGCATTTTGATGCACTTCGAAGAAAACCTGAGATTAGTTGAGGTTATTCACTTTGCGGTCGTTGTTACGACCAGCGCACAACTTACCACTCTTCTTCTTACGCGGTTTAATTTTGCTTTCTGAGGCAACGTGACCCGCAGCTGTTGACCTAAAAATTGCCATCGATTAGTGCTGAAGCAACTGATTCAGAACATCAGATTATTTGATTTGATATTCATGACTTGTATCTGTTTCTCATAATCGCATCATTTTACGTAATTTGCAAGAGTGTCAAACTTCATCCGGGTTATATATTTTGCATTGATTGTGAAGATTATCCACTCCTATGGTTATACATTCACTTCAACGGAGATAGATATCCATGCACATTTTTTCCGATTACATAGAAATATAGATGATAGTTATGGTTTTATTGCATTCGCCTCACATTAACTTGACATAAATATTTAGATTGACGTTCAACAGTGACATGATAAACAGGAAATATGACACACATACTAACAGTGTATATCACCATCCAGTCTCAACTGTTTTCTTTTTAATTAAATTTCGTTTTCAATGTAGTTATTGGTAGTGTATCTGCTTTTCTCCTTTCTCTCATTTCTTTCTTCCGCCATCATCATTGATTTTCATTGAGATTTCCTTTGCTTTCCTATACCCTTCAATTCATTCACTAGACCATACCAGATTAAATTGTTTTTGTGTCACTAACATAAACAAATACATTGAATATTATTTGCTTGAATATAACGATACCCCAATTCATGTGCGAGTTGTTCACACCACCATCAATTTAAAATTCGAAGTTTTGAATGAAATGAACAATTTGCGTTGCGAGAGACTAGCAATACTTTGTCTATTGATGGAACAATTCAAAATGAGTGGAACCAGCAACTTTTTGAATGAAGGATGAGAAATTTTTGAACAATTTTCAACGGCATCATTCTTAAGAGTTCATTTCATGTTAATCATTTTGAGTTGCTTCGAAGACATGAATCGAGTAATTTTGTTACTTAATCAGTGGATTTATAAGAATATTCTGCTAAGAGAACTGGAACCTAGAAGAAGGCAAAAAAAGCACTGAGGCTGGTTTCAAAAGAACATTTTCTTCTGCGAAGTGTTTCTAATGTAACACTATTTTCTTTTCACAATTAACTACGATCGTATAAGTAGAAATAAACAAACAGATGGGCAAATAGTAGAACCAGTTCAGTCGAACTGCCACTCATCCACCACTACTACTTTATTATGTAAACCGTATCAACAAATGCTGATCGATGCATTCATTCCGTTCCAGTCAACAGTGTTTCAATAACAACAAACAACTAACTGAAAAATATACGTATAAATTCTTCTATAACCTATTCATTACCTCTTTAGCTTCGAAGCAGTGAAATTGTTGGTTACGGATTTGGTCCACATATCATCATATTTAATATTTGACTTTATAAGGCACGGATCCTCGAACAGCTGTAATCATAAATCATTACAAGATCATTGTCGAAAGTTGGTTGTTTTTTTTTTGTCGCAAAAGAAAGCATCTATATTAGTTGCTTAATGGCTGCGATGAATTCACTCTAGCGATTAGTGCACTGACAGATGCTCTTACGACAACATTTAAACGTCAGTTATTCACCAGCATTCATTTTATCAAGCGTGCAACTACACTACATTCACTCTGCTCGAGCGCGTAATAAACGCTTGAATGACGATAAGCAAACTGGATGAATGAAAGAGAACATAATGAGTGAATCATCAAAAAAAAGAGTGAATGCTTTCACAACCTTTTGCTCGAGTTTTGATCGTTGAGCAACAAGCATTTTTGCATGGCGAACTGCCTCTGAATGACGCGACTGCTGAGGGCTACTTATTGCTGTCGCTTGATCATTTGTACTCAATGTTGATATGGTCGAAACACTATCTAAATCTTCCAACTCCAGATTCGCCACGAACACAGGTGAAGAACGACCCGATGCACGATCTGAATGTTTGGACTTTACATATCACAAAAGATTTATCTGAATTATCAGCTTGGAACTGATACTAAATGATACAATTTCTTCGAGGATTTCCTTCAGTCTGAAAGGTTTATGCAAGAGGCGTTCATTAACAACATAGAGTTGGTTTCAACTGATAAGGTGCGAACAGATACGTTGAATTAAGCACCCGAAAGTATGTACCTTCAACGAGGATCCAGTCATCGTCGACTTTATTCGTTCTCTTTGGAGTTATTGAGGCGACCGGCGCCGAACTGACACTTTCAAGTACGTTAACATCACTATGAGGAATCACCTGAATTGAATTCGAAAAATATTTAATGTCATCAATATTACGAAAATTACTCAAATTCCACTGCTAATTTCGTCTGAAACATAACAGTTTCACAGAAGTGTATTTTTAAATTGACTGACACTATCCGAAAGAATGTCGCATTCAAGTTCGAAACTAAATTTGTTCCTAGTTACTTGCCGGCTGATAAATATGACTCACTTCTTCGATACAATCACTTGTCGAATCATTGCCGAAAATGTATCCATAGAGGCCGTTAAGCATATCGTAATTAATGAGGATTTAGTTTCAGGAAAAGTCAATTCCAAATAATATGAAGGTGATTTGAAGTGCTGAAATGATTCAGCTGAAGTAATGGAGGTTATATATATATATGTTATGATGATTTAACGGCACCAGAAGGGTTTATGAGGAGAAAGCCTGTAAAAAGAATGCCTAATTAATATGGAATTTTATTACATTTAAATTTCAGTCGTGCATAAATTCGCACAAGATCAACGTTTTTAATGGCATAGGGCTTATCTCTAGCAGACGACACTATTGAAAGTTTACGCAGTAGAATAACATTTCGATGGCATGTCAGCTGCTTTAAGAGTGCTTTGAAGCAGTATTTTCAACTTAACCTCTCGTTCACGTTAGCAATTCAACTAACGATCACTGATAATGAGAAATAATGGAGTAGAAACAGCTAACATGAACTGTTGCTTTACAGAAAATGGGATCACATCATAACAGCAGTGAATTTCGTTGAAATTTATTGATAATCGTGACAGAGGGCAGAAAATTTTATATCTTTAGAGAACTGACCAGTAACATGGCAAGTATAACATATCAGGGTCGATATTTAACACTGATTTTGAATTATATATAACATTCACTCTGGACGATCGGCAAAATGTTTATTAGAGTTAAGATTATTTACTGGATTGGTATTTAATGCTAGAATAATGCGAAGAGAAACGCAACGTGGCCAGCAAAATCATAAATGTTAGTTAGCCTGGTCAATCCAGGTATTTATTATTAATATTATCAGCTATACTTGGGAACCCCGTTTGAATAGTGATTAGAAATAGACATGTGAAGTCACTTCTTATTTTTATTGATTAATCACAATTTACGAGTAAATCTTAACGAAATGATAAACAGTGATCGAAAACAAAACGTTTTTGTTTAAAAACAAACAGAAAAAACTTCACTCATCAACAACGGTGAAATATCATATCGCGCTTGAAGCATAACAAAGAACACTTGTAAAAGCAACAGTTGTCTCACTGAATGAATTTATAAACAAACGAACATACCGACACCAATACTATCTGAAAGAAGGATTTCCGCGACTGAACGAACTTACGCGATACTTCAAGAAGCAATCGTTCAAATGTGACTAATAAAATACGAAAAACCTCCATTAGTTGATGGTGTTTTATTATGAACGCCACCATTTCTTTGGAAATAATACCTATTTAGTCATTGCATAACTTGTTCATGAAAATACGAGGCCATCAGAACAATTTGTTAATGATATTTTGGAAGACGATTGATGGAAAAATTCAAAAAAAAAAACATTCATTGAAAAATTAGTATGAAATCAGTTCCAAAAAACTGACAAGCCGAAATTTGTACGGACACAATTCTTCAGTGGTACCTGGACAATCTGCCTAAAGACGTTTTGTCTGAAAACAGTTTGCCTATTAGGCAAAATGTGCATTAAAAAACTGTCCGTTAGGCAAAATATCTGTTAGGCAACGTGTCTTTAGGCAAACTGTCCCTAGGCAAAACGTCTTCAGGCAGATTGTCCGGTTACGCTCCTCAATATAATAGAGTATAATCACAGCGTGAGGTTTATCATCGCACGAAGTGTACTAAATTTGAAGTGGATTGCTTCAAATAGTTCAAGTGCCAAAATGAATGAGACCAAACAACTCGTTCGTATTTCACAGAGTGTGAATGGGAAGTAGGAAGGAAAATAACAACATTTAAAATTTTGTTACTGCCGGTGTAAACACGATATTGGATGACGTATAGTTGGACTGAAGTCTTTGAATTACTTGTCGTTAGCGAAAGAGGAACTGAAGAGTTATCCTTACGATACTGAGGATATGATGATGGGAAGTGTTCGAATGAAAAGCCAAAAAATCAGTGATCAAATAAAATTTCGGATGGAACAGAATGAAGCGGTAGCAGTAGTCAGTCTCATAACGATTCAGTCTTGAATGCATCTCAATTTCATCTTCTCGTACTCACGAATCGAATCTGCATAACTTGATAGCTCTTCAACTAGCATTTGCTTCACTTTTCATGCGACTTGCTTCAAATCCTCATATATTTTCCGAATAGAAGTCAACTTCTTCGAAACGCTGATACGGTGAACCTATGAAATGAAGTATTTTCTATAAATGATTTCATGACGTATGTATGTGTAACGGTTCAATCAGAATGAGAAGTGACAAGAACTGTTGAGACGTAAACGAAGCGCTGAACTTACATTCAAGCTTTGCTTATCACTTTCGTTGGTTATCACTGATATGGATGACCCATTATTCATTAACTAGATATTATTTTGTGATCTTTTTAAAAGATTCTGAGAATAATAATGGTTATGAAGATGGAATAAGAAACACATGAGTTTCTATGAAAACAACACTGAGTTATAATGTTAGTTTGACCATAAATTTTTAGACTGATAGGAAATTGTTACCGATAAATATTACTTTGTGGGTATGGAATTAGATGTTGAAAGAAAGGCGTAAAAATTTGACGAAGTCAACAAAGTCAACGTCCAGTAACAAGAACTTGAAGTTCTTGTTACTGTTTGCTCCATTGACTACCAGCATTAGAGCATTTTGATGTCACAGAGTTGGATCGAAACAAAAAAGAAAGGCTCTGAATAACAAACGTTTATCGAGACTGAATGATTTGAAATAAGTGGCGAGTGGAAATCCCAGTTTGACAGGCAAATTTTTTTTGTTTTAGATGATGGAGAAAGACGTCTACTCAGACAATTCCAATTTTAGTCAACTAGGAGGTGGAAGAATTTTATAAATTCACATTCCATTTTGAATCAAACCATCATGAGTCCATACGATGATAGGATTGAAACGAAAGGTATCTAAGAACAACAATAATATAATCATAACGCTGATTAGGAACTAGTTGTTGATTAGAAAACTGCTTTGATTATTGCATATGTTCGGGCGATTAATCGTTTCAAAACTTATCAGACGATGTAATAATCCTCCGATGAGCATCAATTCGGAATACGTTGTTCAGACGAATTTATTTATAAGAGTGATGCGGTAAAATTTTTCGAAATTTCATTGCAATTCTCTGTAAGCGAGTAAAATCTTCAAGATTTGATTTTGGACAAGGAAACTGCAGGAAAATTTGACACAATAATGTTGCCAGCAAATTTAAGAGGATGAAAAATCATTCAAAAGTGAGGTGTTGTTGGCCATGAACGAGCGAATAAATACTTCATACAAATTTCTAAGAACGGAAAAAACGAGATACTCGACGTATGATTCAACACAGACAGTTCATAAGACAAACTGAATTAGACTGATAAATGTTTGCATGGAAAAAATGAAACGCTGAAAAGCTCAAGGCGCAGCTCAGAAAAATGTGACTTCTGATCTAAAAACCCAGGTGAACTCTGCTTCCAAAGAATTTAGAATGAAATGTCAATGAGTCAGTTTTTCCGTCCTAGATGCTGCAGTGTCCATATTTCAGTTTTCTGGCCCTAACCCCTCAAAATTCCATAGTTTTGACTGGAAAAAATCCACGTGAAATTGCAGAAAAAATTGCCTGAAAGGCCGCTCCATCTACATAGTCATTTCGACGCCGTAGGCGAAAAAGAAATGTAAACCGTCTTCACAAATTCATCTTTGTAAAGTAAATTCCACATAGGCTAGTTTTACATCTTTTCGAAGGATGACATTTTGGAAATTCGAAAATCTGAAAACCGTAAACTACTGCGCCTCATGCGAAAAATAATTCGACCTAGCTGCCTTCCACACAAATGTTTGGAAAAGAAATTTAGCACATGTTTCTTCCAGAACAGACAGTTTATTCTTCACATCTGGAATGCTAGGAATTCCAAGCTTTCCACAAAAAAAAGCCACCCAAACGCAAACACCACACAAGCTACACGGCGTGATTCGCAGCAGAATGTCATGTGAGCAAGAATGAACACAACTATGGCGTATGTCTATCTGCGTGATGAAATAAGTGTTCTGTGAAGAGAACGTGAAAGATGAGAGAATGTCGATGAAGAATTAAACATTCATTGAGTATGTTTGAAAAACTGTGAGAGTTGACATAAGAGTAAAGAGAAAAAGAAATAAGGACAATGATCAGTGGTCAGTGATCACGTTCGTTGCCTCTGTCCGTCTCGTCAATCCCATCGCAAACAACCAAGCCAAGCAGCATTCATCGATTATTCGGATGTAACTGCTCTATGTCATCGGGCTCGTTGTGTATCGCTCATATATTATATATACAAACATGTCTAGATTGTGTTCATGCATATCTACTACTTTCTAAGTTGTATTTTTCGGAGGGATGCATTAAAAATTGTATGTTGAGAGGGACTGACTGAACTCAAATAGTGAAGACTCAGAGAGGACAGGTGTCCAAAAGGTCGTCCGATCATTACGTCGGCTGCGAAAACATCGACTAGTCCAACCGTGAACCGACCGAAACGCTGACCGCTCAAAATGTCACCCGGTCAAAACGTCATTAAAATATATCTTATACGAATGATATCGGTGATAAACATCAGAGCTGAAATGGAATGTGGAAAAGTTTATGTATCCATTCATACAGCAATGAATCCAGTAACAAATTCGGTTCCACGTTTCGATTTGTAATGCTTTCTTCAAGAGTAAACAACGGGGTACATGACGGTTCGTCGCTGTCACTTTTTCAGATAATATACTTATTAACCTCGGGTGAGTATGAGCCTTCACCTTGACTAGACCTTAACCTGGGTTCAGCCTAAGCGTAAACCCAAATCCCATCGTAAGCGCTCATCTCTAATCCTCAACCTAAGTCTAAGCCTGATCACACTGTGCTCTGAAATGTTCAATTGTGCAGTTGAAAACAGTATACCAAACTAAACATTGCTACTCTCTTGAGGTGGTGCCAAAAGAGGTCTACAAAATAATGAATTACCAGTAGAGAAGTTTAACGAAATATCAACAGTACCAACTGGCCGAGCTTATATAAATTGTTCTAGTAACCGGTCGATCTTTTAGTATTCGATCGACGTTATGACCAAACGTCGTTGATGAGGTGGGCTTTAATGTCACAACAGCAAATTTGCTCGCGATCTTATAAACTTCAAAAACAACAATCACGAAGATGATAGTAACTATAGTGCACGAGCCATTACAATAGCTCATATAAGAGAAAATAGCAATGGTGACCGAAAAACTGGAAATCGAAAAATTTTCTGGTAACGACAATGTTCATCTGGAGCATATGAATCCCTCTCCTTCAGGCTATGATAAAGTGTATCAACACAAAATGTTAAGAAAAGAAGTTCGTGGATGCATGGTGAAATTCGAAAGTGATGTTAGTGAAGTCGAAAGGGGATCCTAAATACTTCAGCAATTGCAGTCTAGTAACGCTTCTGTTTCAAATGCACAAAACGATCAAAGGTATTTTGCTAAACTGATTTTATGGATTTGGTAAGGAGCAGACCATACGTACGTATTCGTTAAATGTGGATCTTATTCACGGTGCCGAATTTTACTGAATGAATAAAGCTTCAGTGTAAGTGTAAATGTAATACTAATAGCAATCATAAATCTAAACTTGTATTAATCCATAGTTATGCTTCAGCCTCACCCATCTATATGCCTATCACTTAAGCCTAATCCAAGCACTGTTCTCTCGTATTTACCAAAAGTTTCCAAAATTCATCCATTTTTTCGATGCGAGAATTTTTTTTATTCAGTCTTTTGTTCGGTCATTGTGAAATTTTGTTTCACTGTCTAAAGTTTTGCTGCACTGGTTCATCGTCACGGAAAACTTTATCGTAAATTTTATTTATAATCACCTATAAGGTCGTTCATATTGCATGATTGCATGTACTAAAAACTCAAATAAATATTAAGGTGCACTTGGTTTGATTCAGTTCTATTCTAATATAATGGACAGAGGATCGTGTCCTCTGTTTTTTTCATGCATTTTATATACAACATAACATGCATCTTCCTTACTAATTATTTCTCTCAGAACAGAGACGCTTTCAGTTATTCCAGTAATATACTAATTGTGACCATTGAACATCACCACTGATCACGCTAAGTACCATAACTCTCGTAACTTACATATACGGTCAAAGTTCATTACGATTTTCTAGGGTACTCAATGCCGGTTACAAGATGGTATATATCTTGGTTATGAATTCTCCCTGTCCGGTGGGCAACAGTTTCAATTATTTCCTGAACTTTGTTCTTCAAGCTAAATAGAAAATCTCGAGTATATCTTTATTGCTGCCCATTCGACACATCAAGTTTTATCCTCCTGTATCTAAACCGAATATAAACTCTCCGGACCTGTTGCCGTTCAATGCGTAAGAAATTCACATTTGTTGGCACCTAACCAATAAAAATGTGCGTTCCGGCACTTGGCGAACTGTCACACAGTTCCTGCTTGGCGAACCGTGCACATACGTTCAGATATGGGGGAACGGACTGTCCCTTGTTTTCCACGACAATTAGCTCTGTGACTGATTCCACCCCGACCGCATAAGTCTATGATGACCCGTAAACTAATCATGAAAAGCAGGGGCTATTTGTCAGGGTGAGACTTGTCGCAGAGCAAACCCGTTTTGAAACCACAAGAAGAGGCTCGCCATGAACATTTCGCCTCCAAGCAGTACATACGCATTTACCAAAAAACATTACCCTTAACAATGCCAAGTGACAACTTTCACTACGAGTCGTCGTTTTCCACCCGTTAGCGCGCTTCGTTTCAAACGTTGGCATTCTTTTCCGATGTCTTATTGACGTTGATCATTTGTTGTGACACTCAGACCATTTTCGCAACGTGATCCAGTATTGAAGAGGAAGTTTCCTGCTAGATAAAGTTATATTATAATATTTGAGAAGGGTTTGTGGAATTATGGAAGATGATAACAAGAGTGAATCGACGATCGATGAAGATTGGTATGTTCAGACTTACTCCTATATGCTTTCTGAGCACTTTAAAAAATTAGTTGATTGGTATTCGTAAATGGTGATTCTGATGAAATTTTAATTCACTTCAACTTCAATGCCATAAAAGAGTGAATAGTTAGCGGGTAAGGCTTTCGGCATTCAGCAGACTGAGTGGATCGGAGGATGAAGTAGTAATTTGAGATAAAAATAAAGAAAAATAACAAATCGCCTTGGGTGACGACGTGGGTTTCTCAAAATCTTGGTGTGACCGTGAATTCATACTGACTATGTGTGGTTTTACATGTGTACAGTTCATAAAACCTATTTCAAATTTGAATGAATAAATAGAAATTAGAGGTGAAGGTCAGAATCTCGTTCGGCCCCATACTCGTACCTATCAGTAACCTAGAATTTGTCCTAAGCCTGAATAGAGGTCAAGTGCTGCTCGTGAGCTCTAACAAAACTATGAGCTATCGCGTGGGCTATTTCCGCATTTTTGAGCCCAGTCGAAATTACTGCCGGAACGAAAATATAGTTTAATTAGCGATATGAATGTCATGAATCAAGATTAATCAGGTACTAATTTATGCAAACTTGAAGGGTAAAAGGAGACTCGGTTTCATCCCCATTGGAGACAGCCCGCGATGCTGGAGTGCAGTTGTCAGAGGGTTTGTCTGATGTTGATAGTACGTTTGATAAGTTAACGCTGAACGAATCTGATCGATCGCGTCAAATCAAAATCTCTCACTTAGATCGCTTTCGTCGTACGTGGCCTGTTAGTTTCTCATCTCTTCATTAAGAACCTCTTCTAACAATCTTAATGTCATCAACTTTTTCGACCTTCATATCAACTGAAACTAATGGTCAGTTTCAGTCAGTAAAAGTTTTCTTCTGATGTATACGTTGTTCTCCTGCACGCTTCTATTATTCTGTTGTTGAAAGACACGTTGCAATCAATAGTAATTGGTTACACTAAAATTTATGGAATTCGAACTTCTGCGCCTTAAAAATTGTTGCTGAAGATTGGTGAAAAATATTGCTTGTGTAGGTTTGAAACCCTATCATAACATATAAGTTCGTTTTTTGTAGTAAATGTGTATATCAGCAAATCCTTATGAATTTGGTTGAATTCAGTTTGTTACGTTTAGATTGATTATCTGATATTAAAGGATTGCAGAAATATTTGGGAACGCAAAACAAACCGGGTATACCGCATGAATTTGTTTACAATGGTGAAGATGCGACAATCATTCGTGAGGAGTGTACTAAATTAGCGGAACTTTATCACCTGAACAGCTCAGATGCCAAAGATTTTGAAAAAATAATTGGACTATTCTGTGAACGTGAAGAGTGCCGTTTCGAGGTTGAATGGATGAATATTATCGAGATGTTAATTCCTTTTCGTAGCTCTCTAGACTTCGTCTACAACGCTTTCTGCGCTATCACAACCAAATATCTACCCAGGTTTGTATAGTATCATTATTAATGCAATTAAGGAAAGTGATTATTTTCTGAATCCTGAGCAACAGCCTCTGATGTTGAAGGATTGCAGAAATCGATGTAAGTATTCGTATTTGATTGAGATACTTCAACCATCATTCACCAACAGTTGTTTGGAAAAGTTTCTGAAGTTTTCTAAATAAGCCTAGCGTTGTTTTTATGAAAGTCGATTGCTATGCTTCTTCAAATTCGATGCATTGATTCAGCACGCATTATGTTGCTCAATATTTGGTTTGTTTCCTTTATTTCGGATAACTTAAGTAAGTCCAACGAAAGAAATCTTTCATCAGTGATGTGTGTGGCATTGCTTGCATTCGTAACGATAACTTTCATCTCTCATGTTATCACTTCTTTTCTGTTGGAATGGTAAAACGAACAGCTGAATCCAGAATGATTTAAACCGAATGTGCAGTTTTAAAGTGTAAAAAAATTTATTATACCTTAGCACCGCACATTCACAACTGTGCTTGATGTGAAGCATATCAGTCCGTCAGTATGCTCAGTTTCACACTTGTTATATGCATATATTGTTTAAGTTTTTCTTGCTGCTAATTTTAGGAGAGGTGTGCCTCTTAATCAAATGCTCCTAAGAGAGTGAAAAAAGGCTGAAAGGTCGGAAAGTATCCATATAGTTAGACTAATCTATTAAAGTCGTTTGCAGTGCATATTGAAGTGAAGCTGTTTTTAATAAAAATTATGTTCATACGATGAAACTTTTTGTTCAAGCGTGTGTTACAGTATTTGAAGTGATCACAATTGACTGATAGAATATATAATTTTAAAGGCAACAGTGTCATTGCTTTGTTGATATTATACGAGTGAGTATTATGTGGTTGTTGCTTATATCTTTTTATGTGCTCATCCATGAAGTAGTGAATGTTTAAACGCTACATTGTCTCTTAATTGCAATATTACCATGTCGTGAATTGTCAAATATCATTTCGTTCAAATGTTTGAAGGATGACAGGTGTGCTTTTAGGTCAACAACAAAAGGTTCAGTCTGCTACCATCTTATGCACTTGATCTTGCAATATCATGATCCATCGCTAACCACTCATCTGATTTCTCGTAAGCTCAACTGCTACGAATTCGCATATCCATGTTTTTCATCACTCTTCGTAGGCACTATGGATCGTCAAACTCTTTACTCTGTTTGGGATAAGTATTTCGAAAAGGTTTGTTCTCATACTTCTGATGTGATTAAGTCGTCGTAAAATCTCAACCGAAACTATCGAAAACTTATTTATTGGTAATCCTTTTTCTCGATCAGACTGAAAGATTTCTCTCACTCAATCTGTTGAACGCTAGTGATTCATTGAATGTCTATTTCTACTACGATTCTTCATCTAAATGTTAGTTAATTAGGGAACGGTCATTGGTATTTGGTTATTTTGTTTTGCTAAATGAATTTATTGTTATTTGAAACTGATTTCGCAATTTATATTCAAAAATTTTCTAGGGTGATCCATTTTTACTGTTTACAATGCTCCTGGTTTTCATGGTCAATTGCTCAGAAGAACTCGTCAAAATGAGTGAAAATCAGTGAGTCAACTTCAATTTATCATTTTATCAGTTCCATCCTAAATTAAGAAGTAAACTGAAAGGATACTTGATCGTGGAAATGATGTAAATAAATCGAGTCGCCCAACTTCACAAAACCGTATCTCTGTAAATAATTTTAGTATGGTATGATCAACTTGTGAATTATTTTCAATGGATGGAAATGCATCTGTAAACAGTGATAAGGTGTGCTGTTAATTCATGCATTTCACTTTAGCAATGATGTTGCAGAAAGATGGTCGATTTAGTTGTCTCATCGATGCGTCTCGTTTCTGAAACTGATGTTGATGACTTATTAGATGTTTCTGGACATTTTTTATCAATTACACCTCCTTCTATCAAACAGGTTCGTCACTGAAGTTTCTTTCAAAAACCTTTCAAGTGGAGTTAATCGTATGACAAAGATTTACATTTGTTGATCGACAGCGTTTTTCCGATTCTTTCATTCAAGCATGTAAATGATCCTTCTTTGTGCAAGTACAAGAAATACTATTGAAAGGACTATTTACTTCAGCGGGGTTTGCAAGATGCAATTGCTATTTTAAAACACCATAAAAGAATATGTCTTCAATTTAGGATTTTCAACGAATTTTGTTCGGGTCACGTCTCGTAAGTGTCAAGCAAATCGATATGGCTGGCCTTTTGGCGCTTCCTGTAGATCCACGTGACCTCATCCGGATGAACGCTGATGAGAACTCAGACGTATTACTATAATTCTTTATTATCATTTGTATCGCATTGCAAAATCACTAAAAGTCTTATTCATTGAATTTCACTTCATCCGAACGAAGTCTCTTGTACTGATTTTAAGCTCTTATTCACACACTGAATTTAAACGTTTGTATGTGTTGGTTAGTTGTGCATTTTAGGTTGTTTTTGAACTTAGAATAATTATGAATTTTGAATGTTCTAGGAATTGATAATTTGTTTGGTTGATGAAGATTTTAGGAATCAAAATTCAACTTTTTCATAATCGATGCGCGTCCTCACGATGATTACCTTGCTGGGCATTTGGAAGGTTCATATAACTTGGATTCGAGTTTGGTAAATCTGTTCTTTTTTATTTGCGTAGTTGAATTTAGAATAATACTCTGAATAACTTGATGTCAAACAGTTCGAAATACAATAGTATTGTCGGATATTTTTATATGTTACCTAACACTGTATTTGTCTAAATTGTTGGCTTTTATAGTTTGTGGAAGCACCGGATCGTTACAAGATGGCTCTTTCTAGTTTGGATGCATATCGGAACGCTTCTCGTCGAAACCACCATCTACTGTTTTTGGGTGCAGGGCATGAGCAGTATGATCTCTACTTAAATATGGTTGTCGCTAATTTTTTGCAACAAGAAAGAAAGCACGTTGCGCTTGTTGAAGGTGGTTATAAGGGTAAGTAATCGCCAAATGTTAAAGTGCTATTTAATGCTTCACAGCTTCTTTGAAATCAAACCAAAGCGTTCAAACAGTTCCTCAGGTTAAGGAGAAATGGGTAGTGGTGTAAATAAGTGATAAATACGAAATATAGAATGTGGTTTCCTGTTTTTATAATGTAGCTTTGAGCATCATAATCAGCTCAGAAATTCATGAATTCATCGGATCAATCCGCAGAGTTCCCAAAAGTCGTGATTGTGATCTGCTTATTGGTAAATTGCGTTCCTGTGAGATCAGAATCCAGTTGTTGAGCACATTAAGTAATCGAACACAACTTAGTGAAATAACCCCATGTAATGTCCTCAGTTGGCTCCTTCTTAATCTACCTTTATCTGTCAGGAAAATTTTTTTGCTCCAGTAAGAATTTTTTCAGCACTTCATCATTTGCTCAGTTCTAATCTCCAGCGACTCGAGGGCCATTGTCCTGAAAAATGCAAAGAATGTACTGGATCGGTTCATGAAGAGAGCGATCTCGACACTGCTCAACGCAGAAAATCATCTGTATGGGTTTTAGAACTGTTGTTGGATTTATTCAATCCCTCAAAGAAATCGTTTCGTTATTTTAAGTAGTTGGATGAGGAATTTGGGTGATTGTTGGGTTCTTCTTCTGATGGATCTCAAAAAAAAAAGTAATTTTGTGCGCTATATCCAATCGGTGTCTACTGAAAAAAATCTGTTCAAACTAAATTTTTTTCGAAGTTTTTCTCGGCGAATACACTCCTTGGATCTTCATCTTCATTCCATCCATTATAATCCTACTCTGTCAGTATTATGCGGTGATAATTCGTTAATGGTTGGAGCTACTCACTGGAAATAATTTCAATTTTAATAGAATGTGGAAAGTTGTGTTTTGAAAATGTGCTCTTGTTTGGCAATACAGCCAAAGATTAAGGCATTAATTTATTATCTGTTTCGTGAAGGTTTTTATGAGAGCAATGAGTAAAATTAAATTACAAAATATGATTCTGATTTTAGTGGATGACTGGTGTGAGTAATCTTTTTGGTGCTGTAAAAGCAGGTGCACCGACCATAACCGAGAAAGTATTGAGCTTGACTCAAGCCACAACAAGGACGTGTGATACTCATGTAGCAACCAGTGAACGGCATGGGAAACGATATCGCAATGAAAGATCAGTGTTCACATTGAGTGATTCGGATTCGGATTCAGAAGGTACTAGCGCACCATTCACACACATGTCGAATACAGCAAAGCCCAAGGCTAGTTCTCTCTTATAATGCTCTACGTAACATTACACTACAATTTCGTTACAGACAAAGAAACTATTTATTTTTTGAGATGACATTCATCTAACTGATACACTCTTATGAGTGAATCCCTTTCATTCATTCATTGGTATATGCACAATTTTAGAAATTCAGTGACGTATTGGCCCAAAATGATGTTCGTGAATATTTCGAAGGTATCGAAGTCATATCGGATGGTTCCGATCAAAAGACTGTGAAGTGTTATTTGGCGTTAACTAGGACACATATTTACGTTCTTCATCAAACAGAGAAGGTTGTTCGTATATTCAATATTGAAGTTTCACTTTAGGCTTTGACGCTGATTCGTTCACAATTGTCTACGCTGCATTTTGTCTCAAAATAACATCGATTTAGAATATTGATCTATTCAATCTATTCTTTGAATCTGAGGTTATTTTTTGCTGATTAAAAGGTGATACAAAGGAGTTCTCCAGTGATGCTGTGATATTAAAGTTGTTACGATTTCAGCCTGATGAAGTAATCACCCATGCACGACACATTTACAGTTCTGTGTTGCGTGTATCCAGTAAAAAGAAATTGCCAGAGATGATTACTTTTAAATTTGGTTATTCTACCGATGATGGCGAGTATAAGGTTAACTTTATCAGTTTTATTTCATCTTATGCACAATCGTTGTTTCGCTTTTCTCGATTCAAACCATATCCACTCATAAGTATATGCAAAGAAGAACCACGTTTTGTAGCTTCAACTGTCACGATTAACCTCTTGTTCCTATCTATCACGTCCACATTCCAACAACAATACCACAATCACATCGTGCATTAACTTGTTTCTTTACCCGTAAACAGTGGAATGTAAAGTTGAATTCATACGAATCAGACATTGTTTTAGGACATCTAATACCTTCAGAAACCTCCCTCCAGCGCTGTCTTGTAGCAAAATGTTCATTGATGACGGCAAAGTAGAATTAATTGTTAGTTTGTATGGAGAAACCCACTTCATAGTTTCACGCATAGAAGAGGACATATTACAGATACTGTAGTTTAGTTCATTTTTGTCTCTGATTTTGGTGGGTATCAAGTAGAAAATTACCGTTTTTTGACGTTTCACTTCCGCGACAAGATCAGCGCAGAATATATTATGATTTAATATCGTAAAAGTATTGAATTGTAGGAGACATGTGTTGAACGATTCGTATTACCAAGAGCGGGTGAGTGTGTGAAGGCAATCAAAATGAACATCGTTAATTTGCAACCAGGTCTATTGTTATGAAATTTTTACGTAAATGAACGAAGACGCCTTCTGAATATTTCTTTTGATGTATCATTATAGTTTTAATCATGATGCTACTGTAATATTTGATTTCTTACATAGATGCCCTCTTCGAAAGTAACATAATATAAGCAAATAGGCGTTAGCATAGTTATTCTTCACTTTTCATTGTATCAGATAGAGTTCATTTCTCGTTTAGTTGTTTTTCAGGATAATTATTCTTTGTAAGCAATCCTTTGCTCTTTTTAAATTTCATGGTGATGAATTTACAATGCAAACTGTTATTTAGGAATGTGTCTGTTTAGGAAAACAACGATTAGAGTGGAAATCAAAATTGAGAATGTTAAGTGTCATTCATGAGTGTCGTTTCAAAAATGATAATTATGCTTCACGATCAATAGAATATTCTTCTCAATGTTTTGAGCACATATGTCTTGTTTCTAAGATCTTTCAGAAATGAATTTTAGCTCTTAATACTGCGAAAGTTTATTTATGTCTACTATTTGTATCATTCAATGTCACTGAGTCATTTAAAGACGCTGTTTGATGTTTATCTTGATCCTGAAGGTTTTCTAATCAATCCTGAGAGCATTTCTGGAATAATTCATGTTGTTTGCGCGCAACTGCTTTTTTGCTTCAATCATTCGTTTATTCTTATTCGGTTATCAATTTCGTTGCTGTGATCTTGTTAATGTATATATTAATTTATGTGATCAGCTTTTTTGTGATTATAATAGACAACTTATTTCAATGTTTTATTAAGAATGTTACGAACGCCCGCTTTAATCAGCTTGATGATCGTATTCAGTGGTCATTTCACAGGAATATTATGAATTCAAAAAGCATACGGATGATTTATTATTGTCATTATGCATTGAGCAGTAAATTTTATCATGAAGGAGAATCCAATTGAAACAGCCTTTTCAGTCGTTCAGTATAATTTTATCAAATCGTTCAGAATTGTCGAGAAATGAGAGCAGCTTAGCGAGTTTTTGTTGATTCCGTTTATTTCGACTACTCACATTCACAGTTTCTTTCATGAGTTTCATCTGTTCTAGAAACTTCGAAGACAAATATGTTATCTTATTGATGAATTTTATTGCGATCTAATTTATTGATGTCGCTTTCTGTTTGGTATGCAATGATTTGACGATCCACTGAAATCATTTTCCTTTTTGATGATGTTTTACGGACTTGTTGCTGTTAGCATCGTCCAAAATAAAAAATTATCTTGATTAACTTCGCTATTACAATGCATATATTATTAACCAAAACTCTCAGTGATTCATTATGAAATGCAACATTTAAAAATGTACGGGTGTTCAAGGTTGTATCGCTTTTTGCCGATCACGGTCAAATTACTTCAGATTTGCATATTCTGAAGAAACTGCCCTGATTTTTACGTTAAGTTGTCATCTTGATTAATTGGATCTTTTCTAATGATTATCTCATCAAAGATAGAATGATCTTTCTAGTGTGTTGTGGGGAAGGAAAAAATCTGAGGTCGAGGAAAGTCGGCGACGGAATTTCGCAGTCAAAGAGCTCGAAAATGCGGTCGGCTCTAAGAAAAGTCGAGGACGAGGTCCCAACGAATACCCGTTCTCCGCAACACACTAAATCTTCGCATACAGATTTTAAAATGCGATGAATTCAACGTCGAAAAGTGTGCGTTTTGAATCGTGGTAATTTGAATATCTCAAGTGACACTAATTGATACGGTGAGCAAAAGTTAGCTTCAAACGATAGATTTAAACAGCAAAAGCTTGCGTGTTGAGCGAAACATATTGGAATGTTTTTATTGTTTACATTAATGATTAATGATAAAGTTTGTTTGAATCGAATTTTATAGGAAACACTTCTATTGAATTGCATTTGATCTTTTTGTTTCTTCTCTTTTCTTGAAACTATTTATGTATGCATTTGCTCCAAAAAAAACGTTCCTTTCGCTGTTAGGTTGAGCCGACGTAAATGATGAAATAACGCTAGTCAATCATCGATTGCAACAATAACGGCACAATAAACTATCCAAACACTTCTGATGAGAATGGAGAACAAAATATGTCAAATCCGATCTGGATTAGATCATTTTGTTTTCAGATTCTAAATTATTTCAGTTTCCAAATTATCAATCATTTATATGAACTTGCTTAACAATATATTATGCATGATACGCATCTACTGAAGTTTGAATCATTTGAATGACAGATTTAGTTATTTTCTTACATTGGGTTTTTTCGCTTCACTACACTCGAACAACCAATTCCGATAGTGGCAAAAAACAGTGCTAAATTTGAGCCGTTACTCTAACGACAATGTCAAGTGAACGATGACAATCAATCATTTCCGTATCTCAACTCATTTTCACTTGAATAGCGCACGAAATTCATGATTACAAATCGTGTTGCTGAATTCACTCAACGTAGTTGAAAGATTCTGAATCGTTCACTCACTATTTTTCCACAATGAGATCATCAGTAAGCCGTTGATATCATCTGCATGCCTTTGAATGATCATTTAATTTAACCTCAAATGCAACATGTAATAATTGTTCAGTAAGTGGCATTAATCCACTCATTTCGAAGATCTAGCTGATACAATTGACAGCAGCCATCTGTAACTGAAGATTTAAAAGTGATAAATACTTCATGCAACTGTTCCATTTGGTACAATCTTTTTCAAGTATATTCATTTAACAAAACATGTACGGATCCATGCATGCAAAGAGCGTGGCTCACTGCTGCTGATTTATTGCAAACATTTTTTATCCTTTCGAAAATTGTTTTACCTTGGAGGCTGTTTACACCCAGAATCCGAATGATTGACAATATCCCGATTTAATTCAAAAAGTCAAAGATAGAAAACTCTCAATTTGACATGGTATCTAAGAAGTTATGCAAAAAGTATTGCGCTCAATACCTACCTAAAAATGCGAGTGGGGGAGAGGGGGGAAGGAGGAATGGAAGGAGTCAGTAATCTAACTTGATCCGCAAGTTAATTGATGGCTACGTAGCTAGGGACCGATTCACTTATTTTTTCAACAAAGCATCATCTTTGTTGCATTAAATTCTGCTCAAATTTGATCGAAATGAGTTGAGCATCGTCGACATGTTGAAGCAAACAGCAGACATGCGTTAATGTTGCATGAAATAGCTGCAATAAGGGACTCAAGAATGCTATGCGAAGATGAGTAAAAGAAGAGAGAAAAACGAATAGGAAAGAACTGCTTTCTTTGTAGAATTCGCTTGATCCAAACAAATATCATTATTTTGCACTTCTATTGAGTTGATTGTTCGTTCCAAAACTAAATTGTGCAGTTGCTTATGACTGAAACGATCTCCTGTAGATGGCTCTATGTAGATTTATAAATTTATGGATTGCTCAGATGAAATTGTAACTTTCATAACTTTGTAACATCGGAAACTTTCAAATGTTTCTCCTCGGTTATTATCGCCATATCTGCTTTTTGGCTTGTGTAATTTCTTTTAATCAGCGATTGTTTCATTTAATTTCAGCGTATATTGCTCGTACTGTTGAGCTGTCTGAGAATGGCCTGTATGTGTGAATTTAGAATAATAGTGTTCGTAGATCACTGAACTATTTAAGTGTATGCTTATTAACATTCAATTCATGACGAAGAAGCAGTAATTTGTGATTTATTATGAGATATGGTTGATGGATGTGGAAGCAAAGGATGAGAGTGTCAAAAGTGTAACATATCATTACACTATATCCAGATATGATTGGTACAACAAACATCTCAATCGGTTGCTTCCCGCAGTTGTCAATATTCAATTCATATTCTTCACAAATAAAGATTTTCATTTTCATTTTAATTGCCTTTCATCAAGTCATTGCTTCATCGCATCAGGTTTGTGCTCAAATTGCAGTGGTTCAATTATGATTCAATCCGGTAAACTATATAAAACTGAGGATTCTTGAAATGACTTGTGACAAAAGTCTAAAAGTAGCAATACTATTGAAATGAGTCTTCAGCTGCATTGTCATATCGAGCAAAATAATTGAGGCAACGTTAAAAGACTTTCTCTGTGAATTCAATTTGTTGTGAATCATGAACTGCCTTATTCATACATGCATTTTCAAGTACAGAAATTTCCATTAAAGGAACAACCCTCTTCAGCTCAAAATAAATGAGATATTTCTAGTGACTGAAAGACACAGAATGAAAAGCAACTCTTAGCATTTAGAACCAATTTCAGATGGTGTTCGAGGAGCATATTGTTATTAAATGTTTTCCGCGAAGATATATCGATCAAAGAGAGGGCTTTTAACGAAGAAATAACGTTTAGTAATTGTGATGAGCTCTCACAATTACTCGAATATTTGAAACGTTTGCCTTTTTCAGTTGGCTTCGTCAAAAAATGAGCACACTGTCTAATTGATCCTGTCATGGCTAGATTGTTACCCGTCTTTCTGATATCATTCACATGCGATAACATTTGCAAATGCAACTGCTATCGCATTTTCGTCAGTGGCTCTGCTCTATGTGTATAGCAGCATATCACATTATTCTATTTCTTTTGTCGGCATTGCTTCTTCTTGTAACCGCAGTAGTATGTTTTGACTTTTCAATGGTTCAGTTCGACTGTATATGCTGCTAAAGTGATTCGCGTCATCCAACTAATGTTTTTTGCTCGACTTCAGCTTTTTTGTACATGTAAGAAATAATGAACGCAATTTATCGTCCGTAAACAGATCAACTGCATTATTTCTTAAAAAAATTGTCGAGAAATAAAAGCGAACGCGTGAGAAAAGTCATCGTGTGTTACTCACAAATACATTTGGCTTATGTTTGCACACGATAAATGCCACTGCGAGCATAAAACGTTCATTTCTTTCCAATTAATTCTGTACTTACATTGCAACGATGGGACAGTTGTTTTTTGAGAACATAATGTTCTGATTTATTGCGTATCTTTGAAATTATACGAGGCTTGGATTTCAAGATCATTACAAGCAATTTCCATATTTTCAATCGGAGC